AGATCAAACTGATCTTAATAACTGAAGCACAAAAGGGTGTTTGCATTTTGATGGCCACTCGCTGATCTATAACTTAATGTAAAATTTAACTCCTGTCCTGTAGTAATACACTCCATTACAGCAGTTTTATGTTTTTATTCTTCACTCTGAGCAACCAGATTATAGGGTTGTAGTCTGTTTCCATAGCAAATACTTTACATAAGATAAGGGTTTTAACTTGTGAAGTCCCCACACAATTGCTGAGCACTCTTTTTCAATGGTGGCTAAAGCGAAATCATGTGCTAGTAATTTTCGGTTTAAATACGCTACTGGATACTTCATGCCTTTCTCACCTAGTTGATTTCTTACTACCTCTATAGTTGCATCAGATACATCAGTTTGCACAGTTGAGTTTTTATACAGCACATATTTTATATCCTTAAAAGCCGCCACATTGACTTCATCCCACACATGTTTTAGTCCTGGTTTACTATTTAATGCTGTGAGTGGGGCTTTGCTATTTTTGCAAATTCAGGTATATACTTCCTGTTATACTCCACCATCCCAAGGAAAGATTTAACTCTTTTTCTATGTTGTAGGTTTCTCCCAATATCTTATAGCTTTACCTCTACTAGAGCAATCAGTCATTTACCACCACGTGACTTAAGTACTCTATGCAGTCTACCTCAAACTCGCCTTTGCCTGGTTTTGCTGTTATGCCTGCTTTACTCAACCTGCCTAGTACTTCCCTTAACATTTTTAAATGCTCATTCTAGTTATTAGTATGTATGCCTACGTCAGCTATGTAAGCTGTGACTGATTCCCATAAGCTCCATAAAATGTTATCTATTAACCTCTGAACTGTTATTGGGGGCATTCTTTGCACCCATGAACATTACATTAAAATGAAATAATTCATAACGTGTAGAAAAAGATGTTTTATCTTTATCCTCTTCCTCTATCTTGACTTGTAAATGAACTTTCGATAAATAAATTCTTTTAATGTACTGAGTTTAATTAACTTCATTTATCATATCCCTCATGTAAAGTAATGAGTAGGAATTGGCAATAGTAACTTCATTCAACCTTCTCAAGTCAATACATAACCTTACCCCATTACTATTAGGTATTAACACTATAGCCAATAAATAAGGACTAGAAGATATCCTAATTTTTCCTTCTTTTAAAAACCTCTCTATATTCTCTATTAGAGCTTTCATCAAATAGTATGGCACTCTCCTTTGTCACACATTAAACTAGTCAGGTGTGCCCTGAGCTATCATCAAATACACTCTCATAACCTCTCACAATCGCATACACTCGCTCCTCTTACTTAGGAGTTAATTCTTCAAACATTTTAACATGTTTTATCTGTTTAGAAGGATCTAAGATTGTTTTATGTTCGCTCTTGTTATTATTAGTTTCTACACAACCCACCATGCAAGTTTGAGGTGCAACTCTAGCATATCATGGCCTCAGCATATTTACATGATACATTCGTCCCACTACTTCTCCATCTACCTCATATGCCTGTTTAATAGCATGATTAATTATAGGCAAAGGATCTAGCCATCTTGTTGAGAAGTTATTTTTGGCTACTGGGTCCAGTACCACAACTAACTGATTCACTTTAAGATCCTGTTCTCTGGCATTCTTATCAAAGTGGCACGTTTGTTTATACTTACTCTTCTGAGTAGCTTTAACTATAAACTTATGCTCCTTTGCTAACCTTTATTCCAAGTTGGCCAAAACAGGCGAAATAAAACAAAAAGGAAACTTGCTTTCTTTCCTAACTTCACAGCTTCATCCAACTGACTTTCTCCTCGCTTTTTGTTGATGTGGTTTGCTACGTATTATAATTTTAAATGGTCTGAAATTGAGTTAAATGATATCTTAAATTTAATAGTTAAATTGTACTTTGGATTTAGTAGTTAAGTAAAAACCGATATATATAGTCAGTTTATGATATTTTCCAATAAGATTGATACACAGTTCTCTTTTTTAACATAAATACGTTTTAATATGCACACAATAATACAATTTACAATAACAGTTATTACAAATAGTAATTACAAACAATAACTTACAAACAAAAGTTTCACAAACTTACAAGCAATATAAAGTTTTCCTTTTAGTATGGAACTTCTTCGATATCTTATTGAGGGTTCACGATAAGCGAGTTAATTACGAGTTGATGTAGGTACGATTCGCTTAACGCGATGCTAGCTAGCTTTGTCCTTTGTTATTTATCGACCACAT